TCTTTCCCTGGTGGTAGAGTTCGCATTCTCTCTTATAAGAGCTTCCCTGGGAAGTTTTCTTGGCTCCCGGGCCTGGCAATGCAAAATGTTCTGGGGAAATAAGAGGTTTAATTAATGCTCTCAGTCCGGATTTCCCATGCCTGAGCTGGTCCCCTGGGAGAACTTCAATGCCACCTAACAAGATCTGGGGGGTGTGGGGGTGTGTGAGGGAAAGGATGAAGAACACTTAATACCAGACATTTTCTGATGGAGATCAGACATCTGTCATGTGGTCCTCTGTTACTATGGTTACTGAGATGTTAGCAGCTGCAATGACCTTCATTTTTAACAGGAAGAGGGACCCCAGCCCAAGTAGAGCAGCTGGGCTTTGGCCTCTTTCACACACAGTGAACCCATGGCAGAGCTAGGCTAGACCTCAGGAGATTTGAAACACAGTTAAGTCATTAGGACTCTGGGTCACCTTGGCTACATCTCATCAAAGATGTGGCTTTTGCTTCTTGGTTACTGATATCCAGGCAGCAGCCCTTAATGACAACTGTCTAAGAAAAGGCATTAGTGGGATCCTTTGAAAAATGAGATCGTCTCTATTGAGAAAGGCCGTTGAGAGAGTTGGCTAAACACAGAGTGTGAGGATGAGGCTTGCAAATAATTGGAACGCTGGGGCCACCAGCCTGCCAAGGGAAGACAGAGCAGGATGCTTGTGGGGGGGCTTCTGGAAGGCTGAGGAGTAGATCTCTGACAGTTCCCCAGCCTCTTGATGAGGATGGCACCGTTGTGATTTTGATGGATATTTTACTTGCTGGATGCTGGATGTTGTTGTTTAAATATTCTGAGCAACTGCTTTGAATTTCTAAGATATTAAAATGCTTTTATCTGTGGGGAAGGATTTCAAATGTAAGAGGTACTCTTATTTAGCAAACATTTATGGTGTCTGCCTACAGCGTTAGGCAGGAGGGAGGAAATATACAAACAGAACAACTGAATTTTAACATCAGAAGGATTTCAGAGATCACTGTGTGGAGTCCTTTCATTTTACCAAGAGGAAACCTGGGGCCTAGAGAGACTGTGGCTGGCCGCAGGGTAGAAGGACTTAATGGCAGAGCTGGGAAGGTGTTTTACGTTAGGGTAGATTAGGTTGTGCCACAATAAAAAATAACTCCAAACCTCAGGGATTAATTCAATAAAAGTATATCTTGCTCCTATCACAGTTTAAGGAGGGTCAGGGGACCTGTGTGAGCAGTTCACCTCTAATCAGTGACTCAGGAATTTGGGCTTTTTCTGTCTTGTGAGTCCTTTGCTTCCAGCCATGCAGACAGAGAAAAGAGAGGGAATTGAAGACCACTTGTGACATTTCAGAGGCCATGGCTGGAAACACTACATGGCTTTCACCCCATTGATGAGTCAGAATTTGATAACATGACATCCCATAACATAACAGAGGAGACTGGGAAATACAGAGGAGAAACAAGCAAAAGTTGTCTTTGCCACAGAAGCCAGAGCTTAGGACTTCCTGTCCAGTGCATATTTCTCTAACTCATTCACTCACTCAACAACAGTTTTGAGTTTCTACCATGTACCAGGCACCGTGCTCAGTGATGGAACAAAGCTAGGGGACAAAACCAAGCATGGTCCCTCTTGCCATGGAGTTTACATTCCCACGGGAAAGACAGACAGTAATCATTCATCACACAGATACATGTGAAATGACAACTGTGATACAAGCTAAGAAGGAGAGGTTCAAGGTTGAGATTTGACTTTGAGACACCAGTGAAGGCTTCCCACAGGAAGTAGCCCTTGGACTTCGGTCCAAAAGAGTTAAGTTAATGCAGCTAAGAAGGAAGGGTGTTCTAGGCAGAGGAACAGTACATGCAGGGACCCTGTGATGGAACCGCACAGCGGGCAGGCGGCAGCAGTGTGCGGGCCAACCAGCTGGGGGGCAGGGACTGATTTTTAGCATTTGTTGATTTCTCTGGTGTAAATACTTCCACCGTGGTCAATTTCCAGCTGCCAAAAGGCTCCTGAGTATTCACCAATAGGAGCGGCTCCAGCACACAACTGGCAGAAGCTCCACGTGAGATGAGCCTGGAGGGAGAGGTGCGGGCCGGGCTACAGGGCCTGTGGGCCATGAGGGAGGGGCGCTCAGTGTTTTCAGACAGGGGAGCATGATGCGATCAGATTCGTGTTTTGAAAAGACTCTTCTGGCTGCAGTATTGAGCACAGATGGAAGAGGGACCATGTGGATGCCGGTACACTGGAGAGGAGGCCACAGAGGGCATCCAGGAGAGGGCTGCCAAGCTTCCTCCACGACACGTAGAGCCGTATGACGGGCCGGCACTGTCTGTGGCATGAGCAGAGGGAGGTATGGGGGACCAGTCACTTTCCCTCTCTGCCGGAGCCCACTTTTCAGCTCTGCATTGTTAGCTCTCTCATTTGGTGACCTTGTGGTTCTCCAAGCTGGACCACTGCTAACTGGGGGTTCCCCAAGCCCTGGGCCCCGCTAAAGGCAAGATGTGCCTGGGATAAGGGGGTGGGTATCCTGGGCCCCCAGCTGAGTGATGCAGCCCCCAGAGGGCTAGACACTGGCAGAGGGGCAAGGAGGTGAGGGGCTCCATTGAGGTCTAGGAGTGAGATCCACTCCCAAGACAACTGCCGCCAGCTTCAAGCAATTCTGGGGCCACATCGTAAGGCAGAAAGGACGAAGGGGCTGGATCTGTGGGCCCCTGATACAGAAATCCAAGTCGGCGAAAGGTAGAAAAATATTCTGGAGTTGAGCAAATCACAGCCTCGCTTATTGAACGCTGCTGATGCCACGTGCCCCGGCAGGTCACCTTCAACAACCCAGTGTTCTTTCAAACCCCCGATTCCATATCAGCACACGATGAAGCAACATATTCCTATTCTCAGGGGTAGAGTTCCTCAACTACATCCAATATCTCATGGAGCTGACCTAAAGGCTCCCTTTCTCTCTAGATTTCTGGAATATATGAAGATGACGGGGCTTTGTCTGCAGGATTTTTCCTGCCTGGTTGGGATGAAGAGTTGAACA